ACACAGGTCAGGGCTAGAGAATCATGGGTGGCGTCCCCGGGAAAGTGATCCTTGCCTGCCAGACTCCTAAAATGTGACCAGGAGCACCGGGCAAATACTCAGGGATGAGGCGGGCTCTGAGAAGAGGGGTAGTGTGTGTAAAGGTCCTGGGGTACAAGGAGCTTGGTGTAGCCTGGAGTAGTCAGGGTAGGAGGAGAAGGGGTGGGCTGGAGGCCATGAGGGTCACACTCAGTCCCCCTCTCCCCCCAGGGATGTGGCAGCACAGATCGCCTGCATGAGCATCTCAGGTTGGGCTTGGGCTTCAGGGAGTGAAATGGTCACCAGTTCCTACCCTGTTCTCCAAATGGACTCTCAGCACCAACATAATCAGTAGGTGCTAAATCACCTGCATGGATAAGCTCAGCCAGAGGAAGTGGAGGCAGGGAAGTTTGGACACCAGAAAGGAAACAGAAAGGACCCCCCTACACACACCTAGAACTGGGGAATTAAATCCAGGGCCTCTGCACTAAGCTACATCCCAATCCTTTTTTAAAATTTTGAGACAGTGCCTGGCTAAGTTGCTAAATTACCCAGGCTGGCCTTAAATTTGTGATCCTCCTGCCTCAGGCTCCCAGAGGGTTGAGATAGGACAGGTGTGCACCACTGAGGCAGCTAGGGAACAGGTTTTCAGAAGACTGGAATGATTTGGCCAGAAAGGTGGAAAAAAGAGGGAAGGTGTGGCATAGGATGAGCAAAGATGAAGCTTCTAAAGAAGCTGGCACCAGAGGGTTCTGAGGAACCGAGGAACAAGGGGTAGCTTCGATCCTGGGGCTACAGGAGCTCAGAGGACCTGGTCACAAATCCAGGTGTCCTCTCTGTCCCTGCACTGGGGCTCATCCTGCAGCCTGGCTCCTCCAGCTCCTCTTCTCCTAGGGTGCTGGTCCCTGGGGACAGTGGTGGCAGCCAAGGTTCACAAGTCCTGGCCCGCAGGACTCCACGAGTACCCACTGGAGGCCAGGAGACCAGAGTGGACCTGGGAGCTATCGCTGATGCCACCATCCTGGCACCTTGTGGAAGGAGGTGGGTTCAGGGACCCCACACCAGTCCCATGAGCCTCCAGGCCTCTGGGGACCCAGAACCTGCTGGCTCAGCAGCTGCCTCCACCTGCCGCAGGTATTTTGAGTGGAGCTTCCAGGCACTGATTCCCAGAAATCTGCTGAGTCTGGGGAGTCATCTCAGGCCAGCAGGAAAAGAGAGGCTTTGGGAACCGAGGCTCACATGGGGGCCAAGGGGATCCAGGGCAGCAATGGGAATGGTAGGGTCAGACAGCCCCCCTCAGGCCTACCCTGGCCCTTTACAAATAGCAACCCTAGAACCACACACTGATCGGCCTCAATTTCCCCTTCTGTAATATGAGGGTCTTAGTGGCCAGGCATGGTAGTGCATATCTGTAAACTTAGAACCCAGGAGACTGAGGCAGAAGGATTGCCATGAGTTTGAAGCCAGCCTGGGCTACATAGTGAGTTCAAGGCCAGCCTGAACTACATAGTGAAACCTTGTGTCACAAAACAGAAAGAGAGAGAGAGAGAGAAAGGGGGGGGGGGAAAGAGAATCAGTCTTAGGAAGGCTTCTAAGGGGTTTTGGAAGGAGAGGAAATATAATGCTTTTCATTTTTCTTTATTGTGAAAAATGTGTAACAATGCACCATCTTAGTCAGGTTTTTTTTTTTTTTTTTTGGTACTGGGGATCAAACTTGGGTCCTTGCGTTTGCACAGCAGGCGGTGAAACCACTGAGCTAAATCCCCGGCCCTTAGCCATTTTAAATGCACAGTTCAGGGCCCCTCCCCAGCCACACCCCCCCCAAGTCCACTTCCTGTCCATCCACCCATCCATCCACCCATCCTTTCCTTTAACCTTGCAGGAAATTACCTACAAAACCATCAGTGTGTGGTGTCATCTTTTTATTGTGGTGAAATTCATATAACATACAATTGACCATTTTCTAGTGTACAATTCAGTGACAATTACTATATTCACAGTGTTGTGGAACCATCCCTCATTTAATTCCCAATCACCCCATCCCTGTCAGCAGTCTCCCATCTTCTCCCCAGCCCCCACACCCACGAGTTCACTTCCTGTCTCTGGAGTCGCCTTTCCTGGGCGTTTCCTGTCCATGGAGCCCATGCTGTGTCCTCTGTGTCTGGTGTCTCACTGACCATGGCGTCCTCCAGGTCCGTCCATGCCATGCTGAGTGTCACAGCCTCGCTCCTGTCCTGAGTGACTTCCCAGCATGGGGATGCCCTGGCTGTGTCCCTCCGTCCATCTATGGACACCTGAGCTGTTTACACTTTTTGGCTGCTGTGAACCATGCTGCCATAAATGTCCCTGTTGTTCATTTCATTAGAAAGTCTATTTCATTTTCAAATGTGGATTTCAAGAAATGAGTTGAGCTGGGGGTGGTGGCACACACCTGTTATCCCAGCTACTGGAGAGGCTGAGCTAGGGTAACTTAGAGTCTCAGCAAGACCCTGTCCCAAGATAAAAAATAAAAAGGGCTGAGGATGGAGCTCCGAGCAAAGGCCCTGGGTTTAATTTTCAGCACTGAGGAAAAAGAAGAAAGAAAAAAGAAATGAAGTTGAGCATCCCGTTTTTCCCTTCCCTGGTCTCCAACGGGCAACCCCTGTTCCTTTGGCGGTGCTGGTAGCCTGTTCTTCATTTCCAGAGCCCCAGGACTGCGCATCTGTGAGAAACCTCCTTCCTGACCCCATGTCCAGCCTCCCAACCTCACTTTCTCTTTTCCTTGAATGAAGGTGAAATTCACGTCACATGCATGTTGCACACCAACCCCCATGGGCTGTCCTGTGGCTTTTAGTGCACCTGAAGCCTGTAGCAGTCACCCCCTTAATGCCTGCGAGGGTCCTTCAGTGAGGTGCAGTGGGGATCCATCCCCAGCTGCCCCCTGAAAGCCCGGCCAGGCTGGGGTGGGCAGGGAGTGCCGGACTAGGGGCAGCTGGCCAAGGAGGCTGGGGTCCTGGATCACAGGGGCACAAGCTGCCACAGGAGGCCCCATTCTGAAGCAGAGTCTGGGCCAGAAAAGCCCAGTGGGCAGCCAGGGGACAGGAGAGCTGGTTGTGTGTGGTGTCAGCTGACAGTCGGCTGCCGGGGCTCCCGGCCAGGAATACTGGTTTCTGTTCCCCCAGGGATGCTTCCGGTCTCGGCCACCTGCCCAGCTCCAGGGCCAGGCCTGGCATGGCTCCCTGGGGCTGACTGGGAAGGAGGTGGGGGGACCTTATGCAGGGACAGGGCTTCTGGCCACTATCTTGCCTGGTGACCTGGGGGTCACAGGAGCCTCTGAGCCTGGTTCTTCCTCTCCGTCATTAGGGGCTAAGAATAGCGCAAACTTACAGTTTAGCTGCTGCCTGAAAAGGGCCTGGCCACCTCATGGTGCCCACACACCTTCCCTGAGCCCCGACTTGGCAAAGTCCCTACCACCTCCTTGCTATACCTTAGGTAAACTACAGTCATTTTTTGAAGACTGAAAGGAGTCTGAATACAATAGGTGCTTAATAAATACCTTAGCCTCAGGTGGCGGTGTGTTTCACAGATGGAATGAATTTTCTTTCTTTCTTTCTTCCCTCCTTCCCCTCCCTCCCTCCCTCTCTTCTTTCTTTCTTTCTTTCCTTTCTTTCTTGTGTGTGATGGAAACAACCAGGGCCTTTGCACTGAACTCCATCCCCAGCCCTTTTTTTTTCATTATTTTGAGACAGGGTCTCCCTAAGTTACTAAGTTGCTCAGGCTGGGGTGGAACTTGGTGATCCTCCTGCCTCAGCCTCCCAGAGTGCTGGGATAACAGGTATGCACCACCACACCCAGCCCTAGCTCTTCCCCCTTGTATTTTTTATCTTGAGGCAGAGTTTTGCTAAGTTGCCAAATTGCTTAACGCTGGGATGACAGGCCTGTGCCATCCGATTTTCTTAATGCGTGCACCCCCGAGGATTTCAGAGTGCCCGTGATGAGGTGGCTCAGGCCATATGCCCGGGAGCTGTCCACCTGCCTCCTACATCTGCACCTGCTCATGAGCAGGGTATGTGGGCTCCCTGGCTGCAGCCAGCTGATCTCTGAGCAGTCCCCGAATCCTCTACAATCTGGCACTGAGACCAGAGCCCACAAAGGAGTCAGGGTCTCGTATCTAGCCCAGGCAGGCCTGGAATTTGTGGTGACTTCCTGCCTCAGCCTCCCAAGTGCTGGGATTAGTGCCACCATACTGGGCTAGGAGGAGCCTGAATCTTGCTCCATCAAATGCACTGTGCCCAGGGGTCCCCCATGTCCTTATGCTCCCATCTGATGCACCAAGTGGATGTGTGACCACGCGGGAGGTGTCTCCAGAACCTGGTGGTGTTCCAGGCCCGGCTGGATTCTGAAATCTGGTCTCTGGAAAATTCCAAGGCCTGATTCCTGCCTCAAGGAGCCCTGCTAGCCCCTCCCCATGTGTGGTGTTATGTAACTTTCAGGGATTGATCCTGAGCTGGCCAGAGGCGGCCGCCCAGGTCATATCCAGGGCGGCCCCTTCCTGATGACCCCGGGCCTCTGTGTGCTCAACTGGGAGATGGGGTGGGGGTGGGGGTGGCACCACACGGGAAAGGGGCTGAGCTGCCTGGCACTCAGACATGCCAGCGACTCAGACACATCTCCACTTTGTGCCCTGTGCCACAGTTGAAACCCCCAGTGCCCATCTACCCCCCTTTTTTCTTTTCTGGCAAATACTAGGGATTGAACCCAGGGACTTTGCACTGAGCTACATCCTCAGCCCTTTTTGTTTTATTTTGATTTTGAGACAGTCTTGCTAAGATGCCCAGGTGAGACTAGAAACTTCAATCCTCCTGCGTCAGCCTCCTGGAACAGGGGGATGACAGGTGTGGGCACTGAGGGTTCATCTGCTCACCGTTCCACATTCTCCTTAATGCTGACTTGCCCACATATATGACATCCCCTCCCCTGCCTACTCCAGCCTCCCCTGGCCCCCAGACCCCCCCAGCCCTTCCTCCTTGTCTCCTGTACCAGCCTCACTCCCCTCCCCTCCAGCCACAGCCCTAGCGATTCTGGGCTTCTCTCCTGCTCTGAATGCTGCCATTGCTCCCCAGTGCCCAAGGTAACCAAAGGCCACATTATCTGTGGGGCTCAGGAACCATCTGCAGAGAGGACCCACTTTCTGGGCCACTAGACTTACTCAAGGGAGAGCCCTACATGTCCCCCACACACGCCCCCCTGCTCCCTGGGAGGTCTCCGGAGAGACCAGTCAAGGACTCGCCTCAGTTTCCTGCTTGGTGAAATGGGCAGTGAGTCCCCTGGTGCTAGACTGACTGAATCAACGGGTCTCAGCGAATTGGCACTGGCCCATCTGTCCCCAGCCAGTGTGTCCCGCCCGCCCGGAGTCGGTGCCTGGAGCGCCCGGGCTCCGCCTCTCTCCACCCCCCTCACAAATAACTCTCCTGGGCTGCGCGGGCCCAGAGTCGCCCAGCTGCGCTCGGTCTCAGCTGCGCCAGAGCCCGAGCCCAGGCTCCGCGCAGATGGAGCCCAAGACCAGGCGCCGGCGTAGGAGTCGCCAGCTGGTGGCCACCTTCCTGCGTGACCCCGGCTCTGGGCGCGTCTACCGGCGCGGGAAGCTAATCGGCAAGGTGGGGTCCTCCCGTCCCTGACTTAGTCCAGGCGAGGGGCCGGGCCGGGCCAGATGGAGGGGTCCTGCGCGGGGAGTGCGCGCGATGGCCGGCGCAAGGCGTGTGGCGCCCCTCGGATCGGATCGAGCGCCCGGCTTCTATCTCTGCGTGTAGCGCGCGTTCCTGAGAGTTTGGGGTCTGGCGCGGTGTCTGCGTGGCTGGGCGTCCGCGGATGGGTGGCGGGAAGCCGTGCGATACCTGTGGGTTGTGTGTTGGGGCGTGTGTGTGTACACACGCCTCCATGCCTTTGTATGAGTCTGTCCTGTTGTGTTGTACTTCATCCACACGTTGTGTATTGTGTGTTTGTGTGTCGTGGAATGTGTATGTCCAGATATTGTGTTATGTCCAGATATTGTATTCTGTATCCAGGTCCTGCACTGTGGTCCCTAGGCTTGTGCATCTGGGATTGGCTATGTCTGCTTGAATGTTATGTGTTTCTGTGACATTTTGTGTGTCCATGGGTTGTGTTTGTGTGTCTGTGAATAGTATGTTCCCGTGTTGGGTTGTGTGACCAGGTAGTTGTGGTGTGTAAACTGTATGTGTCCTAGTCCGATGTTGTCCATCCCTGTGCTACGTTGTGCATTTGTGTAACCATGGGTCATATTGTGTCTGGGTGTTGTCTTGTGTTGTGTGTTCATTTGTTCTGGGTCTGGGAATTGGGTGTTGTTATGTTTTGTGTTCAGATGTTGTGTTGTGTTTGTGTGTCCATGTGCTGAGCACCTGGGTGGTATTGTGTGTCCAGACTTTGGGTTGTGTTCATAGGTTGTGTATCTGGGTGCTGTGGTCCATGGGTTAGGTTGTGTGTCTGTGCGTATTGTGTCCAGGTGTGAGCTGTGCATACATATGCGTGAAGAAGCAGACCCCTGTGGCCCTGTGCACACGCTGGCTTGCACACCCAAGGCCCCATGTCTGCACACCTGGGCACATCTGGGCGCACTTCAGCGCACGTGGGTGCACCTCTCCCCTCTGCAGGGCGCCTTCAGCTGCTGCTACAAGCTCACGGACATGTCCACCAACACCGTGTTCGCCCTCAAGGTGGTGCCGTGCAGCGGGGGTGGTGCAGGGCGTCTTTGCCCCAAGGGGAAGGTAGGGCCCTCATCACCATCCCACGTGGGCTCTGGGTCCCACAGAAGTCCCTGCCTCCCCTCCTGTGGTGGGCGCGGTGCATGCGGGGCGGGGCAGCTGGTTCCCAAGGGGTTCCCTTCGGTCCCATGTGCGGGCTGCGCCCACAGGTGGAGCGTGAGATTGCCCTCCACAGCAGCCTCCGCCACCCCAACATCGTGGCCTTTCACGGACACTTCGCCGACCACGACCACGTGTACATGGTGCTGGAGTACTGCGGCCGCCAGGTGCGGGTGGAGGGTGGGACCCGCATGCCTGGTCTTGTCTCCTCTGGCCCCTCCACGCGGGCCCCGTGTCCCTCCCTCCCTCCCTGCTTTTACCTGTCCCCATGTCGTCCTCTTTGGATGCCCTCTGTGGCCAGCAGTGCTTCCTGGGCCCACAAAAGGCTATCTGTGGGCATCCTTTATTTCCTTGTGCGGACCTAGGCTCTGTCAATTCACCTGTGTTCACCTGTGTCTAGCTCATGCCATGGGCACATGTGGCCACCTGAGCTCATCTGAACTGTTTTTTATACTGGGGATTGAACACATGGCCTTTGCACTGAGCTACATCCTCAGTCCTTTTTATTTTTTGAGACAGGGTCTTGCTAAACTCCTAAATTCCCCAAGCTGGGCTCAAACTTACAATTCTCCTGCTTCAGCCTCCTAGGGTGCTGGGGTGACACAAGTGCGCCACCTCACCCAGCTTCCTCTGAACTTGTGTTTGTGTGGCCCAGGTGAACTGACCCATGCCCCGCTCTGCCCTCCTGCATGCATGTGAGCTTACCCGAGACTCTTGCGGTTGCCTCAGTTGAACTGAATTGTGCCTTGATGGAATCCTTTGAACTTGCTTTTCCCACTTAAATATACCTGGGCTCACCTGTTCCCACCCGTGTCCACCCACAACCAGCTGTGCCTGCCTCAGTCAACTTGCTCTTACCTTTGCCTTCTCGGGTGGGTCCCCGAGCCCACTCTGCTCTCCCTTGTGCCTGAGGGGCTGGTGCTCCTCTCTGGTCACCTGCAGTCGCTGGCCCACTTGCTCAAGGTGAGGCAGACCCTGACGGAGCCAGAGGTACGCTATTACCTGCGGGGCGTGGTCAGCGGCCTGCGTTACCTGCACCAGCGGAGAATCGTGCACCGAGACCTGAAGCTCAGTGAGTGCGGGGCGGGGGGAGGGGCCTCACGGGGGAGCCGGGGCCGTGTCTCTTCCTCCCTCACTCTCATTCTGGGGGGCCCCCAACCTTCAGGTAACTTCTTCCTAAATAACAACATGGAGGTGAAGATTGGAGACCTGGGGCTGGCTGCCAGAGTGGGGCCAGGGGGCCGCTGCCACAGGTGAGTGGAGCTCTGAGGGTCCCTCTGGATCGCCCCAGTCTGCATGGGGCTATGGCCTTCCTATACCGCCATTCTTCCCCTCCCAGGGTCCTCTGCGGGACCCCAAACTTCCTGGCCCCGGAGGTGGTGTCCCGAAACGGGCACACGTGCCAGTCGGACATCTGGGCCCTGGGCTGCATCTTGTGAGTGGAATCCCTGGCATACTGGGGCTGGGGGGAGGTGGGAGGACCAGGTGGGCCAGGAACAGCCAGGTGAAGGCAGGTGTAGGAGCCCAGAGAAGCCTGAATGAGCGGCAGGTGGGGACTCGTGGGGGTGAGCAGGACGTATGTGGGTTTCAAAATATGCAATTCATGTTTAAATGTCTAACGTGTGTTACAGTAAAAGATGAATTTTTATGAATTCCCAAAAATCCTTGGGTCCAACACACTTAGCCCATGGTTCTGGCCACTTTCTGGAGAAATCTTTCCTGAGTATCTTTAAAAGGTGTGTTCAAAAACATGGTGAATGCTGCTGCCAAGCACCATCCAATGGAAAGGCAGCTCATAGAAACATGACAGTGGGCCGGGGATTTAGCTCAGTGGTTTCACCGCATGCTGTGCAAGCACAAGGACCCAAGTTCGATCCCCGGTACCAAAAAAACCAAAAACAAAAACATGACAGTGTCCTAAAAAAAAAAGATGGTGTCCTCATCCACCTTATTCACAGGATCTGGCACTATGCAACTTCTGCTTCTTCCCCAAAGTCAAAATGACCATGAAAGGGAAACATTTTGAATCCATTCAGGACACAGAGGCAGCCAGGACAGCACAACTAAAGACACTCACGAAAGAGGACTCCAGAGCTGCTGCAGAAAGCAGCCAGAATGATGGGCTAAGTGTATTGGAAGCAAATGGGAGCAAATGGGAGGATTCTGAGGAGGATTCATGGCAATGAGTCCTCTACCTCCATCAATTTAAAAAATTTAAACATGCATCATCTCTTTCGACCACACCTCATGGAGGGTACAAGTGTGCAGGGAGGGGTGTGAGCAGGTGAGAGGCCTGTGCAGGAGGGACTGGGTGGGGGCCATGCAGGCTGGGGCGGGAAAGGTGTGCACAGGTGTGCACGGGTGAGCAAGCACAGGGACGGCCAGCTGGTGGCAGGGGAGGTACAGTACAGCAAACACAAAGCGTGTGCAGAGTAGGGCGTGCAGGTAGACATGGCCAGGTGTACACAAGTGGCTGTGAGCAAGCCTCGCACACCCAGAACACTTTGTTCCCACCCTCAACTGTCCAGGTACATGGTGCTCACGGGCAGCCCACCTTTCCCGGTGGGACCCCTCTCGGAGATGTATCAAAACATCCGCACCGGCCTCTACCCGGAGCCCACCCACTTGTCCCCTAACGCGCGCCACCTCATCGCCCGCCTCCTGGCACCCAACCCCGCCGAGCGGCCCAGCCTGGACCGGCTACTCCAGGACAATTTCTTCACACAGGTGAGTGCTGGTGGCCACTGGCGCTGGCCGGGGATTATGTCAGCTGGGTGGGTGCCCGCAGCCCGGGTCCCCCTCTTTCCAGCAGAGCAGACGATAGGGAGCCGGGCGCCCGGAGCGGGGGCTGACCCCGAATACCTTGCTTGGAAGGGCTTCACACCGGAGCGCCTGCCGCCCCGTTCCTGCCACAGCCCCCCCAACTTCACCATCCCCCGGCCACTGGGCAGCCTCTTCCGGAAGGTGGGCCGGCTGCTGCTCGCTGAGTGCCGACCACCCCGTGAGTACTGCGCCCTGAAACATCTGAGCATTGGTGCTGGAGAGGGCATGTGGTGTGGTGGGCACCTCCCCTCTGCATGAGGCCCTGGCTCTGTCCCCTGAAACCTGTGCTCCTTCAGACCCCTTCACCCCCAAAGAGGACTCAGGCTCAGGAGCAGAGGGGCTGGAACCGGACCCCATGAAGTGGGCCAGTGAGGTGAGAAATTGGGGTCAGGGATATGAAAGAACCCATGGCACCCTCTAAAGTTTCCCATGTGCAGGGCTGTGGTTGCGCACACCTGTTATCCTAGCACAAAGGAGGCTGAGGCAGGAGAATCATCACAAGTTCAAGGCCAGCCTGGGCTACATAGAGAGACCCTGCCTCTAAATAAATAAATAAATAAACAAACAAACAAATAAATAAATAAAGCAAGCCAGCCCCCTGCAGGCTTCCTGAGCCCCAGCAGAAACTGTGACCCACTCAGGGTCCCGTCCTGATGCCTTGGAGCTGGACTCCCCGTGTCCAGCTCTGGCCCCAAACCTGGGGTCCTCACTGCTGCTTGGTTCCCACCCTTGGTTTGTTCCATCCATTTGCTGAGTCCCCACTGCATTTATTTGGAATGATTTAGCCCCCAACGAAACTGGTTTCTCTGCATACTGAGCGAGGAGGGGGAAAGGACAGGCCTGGAAGGGCTGTGGGGACAGGAACAGAGCCCCTTGCGGGCCTGCAGTCTGTGCTCAGCGGAGGGACCGCCCCTCACCTCTGCTGCTGCCTCCCCAAAGGCTCCTCTGTCTGAGAAGAGGGCTCCCGACCCCGAAGCCCCTGTCCACCTGCTCACACAAGGGGCGCTGCGGAGTGACCCAGCAGGTGAGCAGGCCCTCTTTCCTGGGCGGGACCATGGTGGGCAGTGGATGCCTAGAAGCAGGGGTACGGAAGGTGTCTCACCAGGGCCACAGGCCCTCTGTTGGCCTCAGCTTCCCTGTGTAACACGGGAATGATGCCTGGAGTCCTTCTGGGCTCAAAATGAGATTTTCCAGTCAGGTGTAGTTGCACATGCCTGTCATCCCAGGACTCGGGAGGCTGAGGCAGGAGGATTGCTGCAAGTTCAAGGCCAGCCTGGGCTACATAGTGAGTTCAAGGCCAGCCTACACTAGATAGTGAGACCCTGTCTCAAAACAACCCCCCCCAAAAGATTTCCTAGCTAGGCTCAGTGGCATATGTCTGTCATCCCAGCACTCCATGGAGGCTGAGGCAGGAGGATCACAAGTTCAAGATCAGCCTGTGCAACTTAGTGAAACCCTGTTTTAAACTAAAAATTAGAAAGTAGGGGGAGGATGAGATTTTCCTGGATGCAAGAGTCTAGAGGGGCTGGTTGGAGGGGCCGTCTTGGTGGGAGCCCAGGCCTGTGAACCCTCCACATAGCTGTCCCCCCAGGACCCAAGGGGAGCCCACAGCTGGAAGTGGAGGCAGCCATCAGGAACATTCAGCTGTGCCTGGATGCTGGCCCTGATGGTAAGAACCTGGCCCAGCCCAGGGCCTTGTCTTGCTCCCCCCCACAATGGTCCCCCAGGTATTTCTGGGACTTCCTTGGGAGGCTGGGACAGTTGTGAGCATGTCTGCAGGGGATGGCAACTTCCCCGAGTTGCTCAGTTTCTCTGGGGACCACCTGAGGCTAGGAAGAGACCCGGAGGACCCAGGAGGACACAGTTCGGGACCTCCACCCACCGCTGCCCCTCCCCGAGATGGACTCGATCCCACAGGCCCTCCCTCATCTTGGCCTCCATCCACCTCCTGCCCTGCTCACGAGGGATCTAGACCTCAGCTTGGAGTCAGCAGCCCAGGGCCTGTCCTCACAACGCCCTCCATTTGACTTCTGCTTTCTGTTTCTGATTTTTACAGTGCTAGGAATGGAACCCTCCTGCCTGCTAGCCAGGTGCTCACCATTGAGCCTTTTGATTTTATTTTGAGACAGGGTCTTGCTAAGTTGCCCAGACTGGGCTCAAACTCAAAATCCTCCTGCCTCAGCCTCCTGGGAACCTGGAATTATAGGCATGTGCCATGGCACACAGTTCTCTCTCAGCTATTTAGAAATATTGGGTTACTTGTTGGCATCTGTAGTTACCCTGCTGTGCTGGAAAAGAAGTTAATCTCTCTCTCTTTTTTTTTTTTTTTGGTACCAGGGATCGAACTTGGGTCCTTGAGCTTTCGTGGCAGGTGTGGAACCACTGAGCTAAATCCCCGGCCCTAATCTTCCTCTTCAACAGTACCAGCATTAAGCAACTCTGACTGCTGAGTGCAAAAATTTTAAATAAAGAAACACTTATGGTGCTGTGCAGAGTGGCTCAGAGCTCCTCATTTCCAGTGGTGTCTCCGAACCCCAGAGGCTCCCCTGGAAGGGAGAGTTAACAGACCAGTCCAGGGGCTTTTTCCCACACCTCCTCTGCCTCCTGGCTTGCTGTAAAGCCCACAGGACTCTAGGAGGCTGAGGCAGGAAGACCCCAAATTTGAGCCCAGCCTGGGTAACTTAGTGACTTAGTGATACCCTCTCTCAAAAGAAAAAATAGAGCTTTGGATGGAGCTCAGTGCAGAGGCCCTGGGTTCCATCTCTAGTAGCACGTGCGCGCGTGCGCGCACACACACACGTATGTCCCAGGCCATGCTTGAGGCTGCTGACCCCACCGAGACTCCACCCAACCCCTGCCTCCTGTCCCCTCTCTCTGCTCAGCCACACAGGACCCCCCAGGGGAGCAGCGGCCTGTCCTCTGGGCCCCTAAATGGGTGGATTATTCCAGCAAATACGGCTTTGGCTACCAGCTATCGGATGGAGGCAGTGGGGTCCTGTTCCGTGACGGCACCCACATGGCCCTGCGCCCCCCAGGAGGGTGAGTTCTGGGCTCCTTTGCCCCTCCCCTACCTTTCTCTTTCTCTCTTTTTTTATTTTTGGTACCGGAGATCGAACTCGGGACCTTGCACTTGGGAGGCTGGCGTCGGAACCACTGAGCTAAATCCCCAGCCCTCCCCTACCTTTTAAAAATCCCATTCACTCCTCAAGTATTTATTAAGCACCCACTGCACACATCTACAGGGGGTCGCTGCCTGGTAGAGGAAAACAATGCTAAACGAATGACTAAGTTGATTTCAGGCGGTGCTTTTCTCAAGAAAATAAACCAGGTGAGGTGGCAGGGTAGGAGGCAAAGTGACTGCCAATAGCACGGCCTGAGAAGGGGTTCTTGTGTAAGTGCTGTTCAGGTGAGATATGAATGATAATGAGGAGCCTGCCATAAATCAGGCAGGCTGATTCATGCCCATCATCCCAACACTGTGAGTGGCTGAGGCAGGAGGGTTTCAAGTTCCAGCCTGGCCTGGATACCTGAGCGAGTTAACCACTGTCCAAGGGGATGTGGCTGGATGGGAAGGTGTGCACAGGACCGGGCACCCAGGACAGAGATCCACGCACCCCTTTACCTCCAGCCAAGTCTGCTACCTGCCCACCCGTGGGAAGCTAGAGACATTCGCCCCGAGGTATGTGCCGAGCCAGCTGGGTGCCAAGCTCGCTGTCCTGCGCCTCTTTACCTGCTACATGGAGAGGCAACTTCGAGAGGTGAGGTCTGGACTCCGTGAGGGGAGGTGGGGGCTCAGGGACCTTGTGGTCCTGGCTGTGACCCAGTCTGTCCACAGGAGGGTCCCCCACCAGCACCCCAGCTGCCTGCTGCTCCTGACCTCTGCCTGCTGCGGTTCTTTGTGTCGCCGCAGGTGCTTCTGCTGCTATTCAGTGATGGGACCATGCAGGTGAGGGGGGAGGACAGGGGTGGGGCCCCAGGAAACACTGGGATCTCAGAGAACAAAAAGTTTTAAAGCTCTGGGAGGCTGAGGCAGGAGGATCTCAAGTTTAGGACCAGCTTGAGCAACATAGTGACTTAGACGTCTCAAAATACAAAGGGCTGGGGATGTAGCTCTATGCTAAGGCCCTGGGTTCTAGCCCCAGTATTGCAAAAAAGAAAAAGGTGTGGAAGTCTCATAGGGGACTAATGGGCAGGGAAGTCCCGCCTGAGCCTGTTTCCCCACCAGTACAGCCTGTGTGCTCCTGACTGACTCCTTCCCGGCAGGCCAGCTTTAGCGGTGCCCAGGCCCATCTGGGGCTGAGCGGGGCCGGCGAGGACCTGCTGCTCACCCTCGAGGAGGCTGGGCGGCCCAGAGTCTCCAACTCGCTTCATGCCCTGCACATGCACGGCTTTAGCCCTGCGGCCCGCCAGCGCCTGCGCTTTGCCCTCCAAGTGCTGCAGAGCAGCTAGGCCCGGGCAGTGCTGCCCTTGCGTGTGGGTGCTGTGGACCTGGCCCGGCTCTGACCGTGTTCCTGAGGCAGGAGTCCTTCCCTTGAGGCGTGACTGTTCTCTTGGACTCCTGGGCTATGTTCTTTTTTCATTAAAGAAAAAATGGAATTTGTCTTCTGCCTTGTTCTTGGGGTGGAGTTTGAGGAGCTTCAGCCATGAGGGCTTTCTAAAGCTCTGCGCATGCCTGACTTCCCGGCACTCAGGAGGCTGAGGCAGGAAGGTCACCAGGAATTCAAGCCCAGCCTGAACCACATAGTGAGACGGTCTCAGACAAGAAGGGAGGGGGGGCAACCTAAGTTGGGCACTCTGAACATACCTGGCCATGTCTTTTGGGGAGTGAGCAGGGGTGGGGAAGTGGGGGGCACCAAGGACATTAAAGAAGGCTTAAGGGGTTGGGGTTGGTGATAAAAAATTGTCACTGATCACAGTGGCTCCCCCACCATTAGTGCTTTTTAAATCATTTTCCTATACTGGGGATGGAACCCAAGGCCCTTGCACTGAGCTATGTGCCCAGCCCTTTTTTTGTTTATTTTGAGACAGGGTCTCACTAAAGTCACTAAATTGCCCGGGCTGGGCTCAAACTTGCAGTCCTCCTCAGCCTCCCAGGGAGCCCACTAGGGCTTTAAAAGGCACAGCTCTCAATGTGAGCACCTGGGCCGTGCTGATTCTGTGCTGGAGAATGCCCTGAATATTGGGTTGGGAGACTTGGGTTCAAATCCCGACTTTGCCACTCACAGGTGCATCCAGGCCTCAGTTTCCCCGCCTGTTCAAGAGGGACATAAACACTCTTTACGCCTACTAATACTGTGGTTCCCTGCAAAGAGCAGCTTCTGAGTTCCGCTTGTCCTCCTAGGACTCATATTGGAAAAGGAACTGACTTAAAGCCACCTCCAAAATGTGTTCCCAGCCGGCCCAGAAATGTATGTGTGCAAGAGACATTGTTGTGCACCAGTGATCCAGCTGGGGAGGCTGAGGCAGGAGGATGACAGATTTGAAGCCAGCACATGTAACTTTTTTCCTTTGAGGTTCTAGGGATGAAACCCAAGGCCTTTACACTGAGCTGCATTCCCAGCCCTTTTTATTGGGGGAGAGGGTTTCACTAAATTGCTAAGTTTCTTAGGATGGGATCTGCAGTCCTCCTGCCTCAGCCTCCCAGAATGCTAGTATGACAGGTATGTGGCACCATGCCTGGCTCACCCTGGGCCATTTAGGGAGACTCTGTCTCAAAAATTAAGAGGAACTGGGCTGGGGATTTAGCTCAGTGGTTTCACAGTCCTGCTGAGCAAGCACAAGGACCTGAGTTCAATCCCTCGTACCAAAATAAAAAATTAAAAATAACTGGGGATATGGCTTAGTGAAAGGGCCTGGATTCAATCCCCACTAACATGAGACAGAGAGGGAGGGAGGAGGGGGTGGTTCTTGTAAAAATGTGGTGGGTTTTTTTTTTTGTACCAGGGATCAAACTTGAGTCCTTGAGCTTGCAAGGCAGGCGGTGGAACCACTGAGCTAAATCCCCAGCCCATGTGGTGTTAATTTTTTTTTGGGGGGTACCAGGGATTGAACTCAGGTCCTTAGCTTTCGGGGCAAGCGGTGGAAGCACTGAGCTAAATCCTCCGCCCAAAAGTTGTTTTTTTTGTGTGTTTTTTTTTTTGGTACCGGAAATTGAACTCAGGACCTTGTGCTTGCAAGGCAGGTAGCAGAACCACTGAGCCAAATCCCAAGCCCTGTGGTGTTAATTTTTAAAGAAATGATTGTGCTAAGTTTTCAGTGTGTAATGTTGTAATTTTGTTTTTAAAATACTCTTATCCTTTAGAGCAGGTGTTCTGAATGGGAAAGGGAGGTTCTCCCCACCCAGGAGACACTGGGCTGTGTCTGGGGAGCCATGTGGCTGCCGTGATTTGGAAACTCTGGCATGGGGCAGGTGGAGGCCGGGGACACCGCTCAGCACCTGCAGTGCCCAGGACACCCCACAGGAAGTGAGCCAGCCCCAGTGTCCCCAGTGCCCTAGAGGGACCCTGGGTCCAAGAAGGGAACCAACCTACTCACAGACATCAGGTTTAATTCCGACGGGAGCCCATGCGGCAGCCATGCTCAGCAGGAGCTGGTAGATGTCCCCAGTGTATCCCTTGACCGACGATGTTGCTGATCTTCAGTGGTGGTGGGGACATCATGTCCTGCCAGGGCTCCAGCCCAACCCAAGGCCCCGCCCAGCCCTGCCTTGGCCTGCTGAGGACCCTGTGTCCCACAGTAACCACCTGCAGTCCAGGTGCCCAAGGCCACCCCGGGTCAAAGATGGGGCCGAGAACCCAGACCTCTCCAGACACTCTCCAAGCTGAGGCCAGGTCCCTTTTCAACCATTTCCTAGGCATTCCAAAATGAAATGTGGTACCCCTTGTCCCCATATCAAGGCTTGAACCCAGGCCCTTCACACTGAGCAACATCCTTGGCCCTTTTACATTTTTATTTTGAGACAGGATCTGGAAATCAAGATCCTCCTGCCTCAGCCTCCTGAGTAGCTAGGATGACAGGTGTGCACCATATGCCTGGATGTTTTTGCTTTTTATTTGCAATAAAATTACAACCGAATAGATCAAACTCAATCCCATAGACCCCACCCCCATGTCCCCAAGTCCCCTGTAATCCTAGGGAAGCCACAGCCGCATCCCTCCTCGCTTCATCCTTTTTCATGCACTTTTGTTCTTGCAGAAAGTAATTCAGACATCAAACGTATCCCTGATGTTCCCCTCAGCCGTGGACCCGGACACAGCTGCGCATGCGTGTGTACAAATCCACCTCGCCTTATTTATTTATTTATTTATTTATTGGTACCAGGGTTCGAACTCAGGATTTTGAGCTTGGGAGGCAGGTGCGGTGCCACTGAACCACATCCCTGCAGCCACCTCATTGTCCTTAATGGAGCACCTTTAATGGGGGGAGGCGAAGCTGGCGTTTTTGCAGGAGGCAGATAACGGGGACCAAGAAGAGACAGTGGCCAGCGCTGGATGTGATGGCAACTCCAGGAGAGGGCGTGGAGCCTGGGAGCTGAGGTCAGGGCTGCGGCCGGACTGGGGGTGCAGAGATCCTGCAGGAGCCGCAGGAGGGGCGCAGACCCCACGCATGCACCCCACGGTTCTTTATGGACCAAAAGTGCACGGTATTAGAGGGTACGGCGCAGTCACAGAGCTGGGAAACCACTTGTGTGTTTGTTTGGCAGCAATGGGGACTGAACCCAGGGCCATCACACTGAGTTCCATCCACAGCCCTTTCTATTTTTTATTTTTTTATTTTATTTTATTTTTGGTACCGGCGATCAAACTCGGGATCTTGCACTTGCGAGGCAGGTGGTGAAACCACTGAGCTAAATCCCCAGCCCTCTATTTTTTATTTTGAGACAAGGTCTTGCTAAGTTGCTAAGTTGCCCAGGTTGGGCTGGATCTTGCAATCCTCCTGCCTCAGCCTTCCGGAGTGCTGGGAAGCTTTCATATTTTTCCATCACCTTCTGCAAACACCAACTGCCCATGAGGGGTCACCCGTCCCCTCCCAACCTCACACCCCCAACTCCACTTCCTGTCTCTAGAGTCACCTGTCCTGGCTGTAACCTGTCCACGTGTCTCTCACCACAGTGTCCTCAAGGTTTCTCCACGCTGTGGCCAGTGTCACAGCCTCACGCTTGTCCTGGCTGAGTGACATCTCACTGTGGGGACGACCTCACTGCATGTTGGTATCGTGATCATTTGTGATCAAATGATGGAAACCTCATCCTATTTTTTATGAGCTAAATCAATGGAGGAACTTCAGATCCTGAAGTATTCAGAAAAAGGTGTTTGCAGGGCTGGGCGTGATGGTGCAGGCCTGAAATTCCAGGACTCAGGAGGCTGAGGCAGGAGGATCACTGTGAGCTCAAGGCCAGCCTGGGCTACATAGTGAGACCCTGTCTCAAAAAACAAAACAAACAAAAACATAAGGCCAAACATGTACAAATGGTCAAGCTCTGTTTCCACGCACAGCACTTGTTATGGGGGGGGGGATAAAAGACAAACCCTCTCCAGCACGTTTGACTGTGCCTTGCACAGTGACCTAGGGTGTGATTACCATCTGCGTGTGGGCATCAGGACACCAATGATCTGTGATGATCTCCCATACCCGGAGCCCATAATTACACCTTATTCAAAATAAGCCACCATGGAATATATTAATTTTCTAACCTCCTGGGCCGATTTTTATTTCTAGGTATAAGAACTTCAAGAGACAGGAAAAGCTCCCACACCACCCTCACGCTGAAAGTTTCTAGAATATTTCTGTGTGTGTGTGTGTGTGTGTGTGTTTTGGTACCAGGGATCAAACTCAGGACCTTGTGCTTGGCAGGCAGGCGCAGTGCCATTGAGCTGAATCCCTGGCCCTGGAATATTTTTTAGAAGAGTTAACCTTGTGCCTCAAGAAATGAAAGTACTGGGCCGGGGATTTAGCTCAGTGGTTCTGGCGCCTACCTCGCAAGCGCAAGGTCCTGAGTTCGATCCCTGGTACCAAAAAAAAAAGAAAAGAAATAAAAATATTAACCTGTTTTGGGTGATGATAACGGGTGAAATTCAAGAAATAATAAATCTACTTCAACCTTGGTTAGAATTTCTTTCTTCTATACTGGGATGGAGCCCAGGGCCTTCACACTGAGCTACATCCTCAGTTCTTTTTACAGTTTCTATTTTGAGTCAGAGTCTAATTTGCCCAGGCTGAAATGAATTTGAGTTCCTCCTGCCTCAGCCTCCCAGACTGCTGAGATCACAGGCATGCACCACCATGCCCACTTTTTGTTTTCTTTTTTAGGAAACCACTGAGAGGATATTTAACTTTGAGGAATGGGGGAAAATTTTCTTTAATCTTATCAGTCCCCTGCCCTTTGAGTTATAGGTTATAGCCTCCCCACCACCACTTCTGTACCAATCCCTGATTGGTCTGTGAGGGCACATGACTGACACAATGCCTCCTCCAATCAAGAACGAACAAGGCCAGCCTGGTGCAGCAGCATCCCTGATGGATTGTTGGGTGTTACCAAGGCAATGCGTGTGACATCACAAACTTCTTGTTCTAGGCA